CACATAGCGGTGCAGCAAGGAAAAATGTCCCCCGGGAAACAACAGTTCACTGGCGGCTCGACGAAATGTTACGCTATTTAAACCGGAATGTCCGGTATTCAAAAAAATTCATATCATAACAAAAATAAAAACCGGTATTCGGTACAAAATGGTATACCGCCCAGCACTAATGTCCAGTATTATTATTGTTGTTATGACCAATAACAAATAATATTTACTGATTTTACACAAACATACTACTACTACAGCGTCAGTAACTCTTATCATGATCAAACAAATACTTCTCGGCCATTTCCTCTCCTAAAACAGAAACACAAAACTAAAAAAGTGTTAAATCAATATCTGACGTTAATATCGGCCCATATATCGTGCATCCCTAATTTGATACATGATGTTTTATGTTCTTTATAAATGTGTGTCACAAAGACCACATGTCTCAATCAGAAGACCTGCCTAAATAAATAAAACGAGTCGATCTYAGACYCACCTCAGAAAAGGGGCGGGGCTTGTGGAGTTACAGTAAAGAGGAAGCATTGTAGTTCCACTTATATTAGCCTTGCCTTCCTACGCAGCTCCGCTCAATTCTAGTTTCCCTTCGCTGCTCCGTCTGGGACTTCTCCCATTGAGATGGAATTCGCTGGCAGATTTTTAGCCGGGCCAATCAGAGAGCAGAGCGTCAATTTTCTGCGCAGTGTCTGCTTGTAGTTTATTTTACCTGGACCAATCGCCAATCAGAGAGCAGAGCGTCAATTTTCTGCGCAGTGTCTGCTTGTAGTTTATTTTACCTGGACCAATCAGCAAACAGAAGGAGGAGTTTTGAACGACGTCGATTTTCTGCGCAGTGTCTGCTAGTTATTTTAGCATTGGGCAATGGAGGAAGTGAATGAAGCCAATCCGTTTTGATAAGGCTTCCAAATTAAATTAAATGTCTGACAAAGCAGCAGCTCTCATCTCGTTCGGCTTGGTACTTTTCTTCTCTCAGTAGGGTTGTTTACAGCGCGCGATTTCCAGTTAGCTTCTTAGCTTAGCCTCCTTCACAGCGACATACGTCACAGCCAACTAATCCAATCATTTTAAACTTCAGCAGAGGCCACGCCTCCGCAAGAATCACTTCTCTATGCATAAAGTCCAGACCCTTGTACAAAGCAAAGTGAAGAACAGGGTCTGGTTTTAACCAGGCTAACTTTATATAGACCCCTAAATCATTAAAACCTGAAAAGAATGATTTAAAAGCATCATATGTCTAATGAAACAATAATATTCTGCACACAATCTGTTAGTGTTGGACCTTTACGTTGTGAGTGACTGTCAGCTATCACCACACCAAACTGAAGCTCAACACACTGCAAAAAATGTCCACCTAACAAAGTTTTAAAATCTTATATCAGCCAAAAAGTCTTTTTGATCTTGTTTTGAGACTGATTTACTAAACAATAACTAATTGTGTAAGAGTAATAATCTTGTTTTCAGAATGTGTAAGATTATTTGTTTCCGCCAATTAAGAAAATTTTACTTAGTAAGATTCTTGAAATACTTGATTTGACTCAATTTTCTCTTATTTTCAGAATCTTACCAAGTAAAATTTTCTGACTCCATTGGCAGAAATTTTTGACTGAATTTGAGTCAAARTTTCAGACTAACAAGACAAATAATCTTACACATTCTGAAAACAAGATGATTATTCTTACACAATCAGTTCTTGTTTAGTAAATCAGTTTCAAATCAAGATCAAAAAGACTTTTTGGCTGATATAAGGTTTTAAAACTTGGTAAGATGTACAGTTTTTGCAGTGCATCTGCCAAATTCAGTGAAAAGTAGCCATTTTTTTGCAGTCTAAGGTTGATTAGCTGCTGTCTTTAATTGTGATTRATTTCCTGAGAGTTTCATTTAAAGCTGTCCAGTGATTTATGGGATATTTTGCTAATAAACAGTTGACACCAATAGTTAATGGCAGCATTTTAAAACAGATCTTACATCATCAGTTTATGCTCATATTATATCTGAGATCACTTTTAGCTACTAACGCACCAAAGTTTAGCWAAGTATCTGTAAAATTCTTAGTGTTACAGACATATTTTGTATTTGCTAGGGTTGCGTAGGCCTTGCACATATAGCAGCAGATTTCATCTCTGTCCTGGGCCGATCTTATCGTGGACCTTTGCTGTTAGGCCTGGCACTAAACAGCTTTGTGTTGACCTTCCTCTTGGAGCTTTTATGATGGACTCTCCCACCAACCAGGCTGTAAACTGTCCTTAAGTCCTGCCTTGAAACAGCTTTTAACATTAGCCTTGACGACTGAACAAAGCAGATGAGTACCTGAATGTGAAGTCCAACAGCGAGGTCACCCCAGGTGGTCTGAATTCACTCAAAAAGCTCTTGATCAGGTCTCCCGTTAGGCTGCGACCCTTGAGTTGCTTATTCTAAAATTGCCCAGGAATAGGATGCATTTACTTACATTTTTCTCCTCTTTGTCCTTTTTTTCTTTCAGGTGGCTCAATGGCCCTAAGAGGAAGAGGAAGAATAGCCAATGTTCGGTGAAGAGCATGACTGGTGAGTAGCCGCTCTATTGTGTTTTGATCGAGAGAAATTGTCAAAAAAAAAGGAACAAAAACAGCAGCTCTAAACTGGCTGCTAAGAAAATGTGTTTCTTTTATCTGAATTGTCTGTGAAGGCTGAGCTTCTGAAGGTCCACAGACCTCAGCATTACAGAATAAAAGCTCTCCAGCTGTAAGCAACTATTCATTTTGAAAATTGCTTTTGGAGCGTTTTGCAGAGGACCCCTGACGGACTGTATTTTTAGATTTTCAGAGCGTCTTTAGAAAATCCAGATCTAAGCTGACTGCACAAAGGTTGGTTGGTAGATATTTTGATGCCGCTTTGTCAACATTACACTTTCAAAGAGGAAAAAAGAAAAGAAAAGCACCATCTTGGCTTCAGCCATCAATAAACAAATCCCCTCTGCTTTGACTGCCGTGGTGTCAGATGCAGTTTATTGTGGAAGAGACGGCTCCAAATCCCCCGAGCTGAGGGGAAAACCAAACAAGGAAGGAAACAGATTTGATAGAGACGTGATGGCAGGAACATAAAAACTGAAGTTTACGGAGTAGTTTAGGGAAATATATCACACAATGCAATTTTTTCCCCTCCCAGAAGACAAATGGACTGACTCGTTGTGTCACTGCTGGAATTTAATGATATCTGCGTGATTTGAAGAGGGACAGTAGAAGAAGACATCAATCTTAGGGGGACACCTGTCTGAAATTGGTTTATGTATACAGTATAATAATACCCTTATTTTTCTTTGGGTGTATTGACACTATAACAACCATCAGTATACAACAAATTTCTAATTCATTACGTGAAACCGATCTATAATAGTTCCACGGTGCTAAGATCAGCTTTTGACCCACAAAATAATAATGATAGAGAACTGTGGCTCCAACTATCACTAATTGAAGTGTGCTAATATTGATAATAAGATGTTAAATTAGTTTGGAAACAGGTCTGTGCCCTTTTTGGTCATTCGTTTTTCATTTATTGAGTGCCATGACAACAGTGCTAAACTTTTGTTTTGACAAAAATAAAAAGACCAAGTAAAAAATGAAAATAGAATAACTATCTATTTTTTGTTTTTCAAACTCTATATTACACTCCAAGAACAGAAAAACGATTCAGCTTTGAATTTTCGTCAAACCTGAGGTAAAATCTCCAATTTACACCGCGTCCGCTCTGCTGCGACCCCCGCAGTAAAAATGCACCGATTATAATCAATGAGATTATTTACACTGCATCTGCAGGGCAGTGTGCGCACCGCGATCCGTCAAATACAGATTTGATCCTATTTTTGCACAAGTTCATTGTCAATCTACAAAGATCACACCGCACTAACAGGAATGGGCCGAACATCCGTATTTTCAAAGTAATTCAGCTAAGGCAGACTACATTTAGTCAAAATCCGAGCTATATTTACAAATATGTGGATATACAGTATTTATGTTTACATGCTGTCAAAATTGATTGTTCTGTTTGGGAAGCACAAAACGTGTGAATTTTATTTTTGAAATATGGATCCAAGAAAAGGCCCTGTGATGAACTTACGACCTGTCCAGGGTGTACTCCGCCCCTCACACTGACTGCTGGATATGGGCACCAGTGACGCCCTTGACCCTGAAAAGAAGAAGGATGGATGGATAGATGGATGGATGGATGGATGGATGGATGGATGGATGGATGGATTAAAAAAAGACAGCGATGCAGTTTCAACTGTTGTTTCCAGTCTTTCTTCCACAGAATTGTTTAATTATTTATTTATTTTTTATTTATTAAACATTGGATTTATTGAACAATCTCACATTTCCTTTCAGAGCACCTCTGCTTTGCAGCGGAGCGGAGCGGACGCACTTTGAATTTTGGGTGGAAACAAATGACAGTGAACAGCGCAGCGGAACCGCGTGCAGTGTAAATAGTAGCTTATTTTATTATTTACCGTTATTTAACCAGGCAAGTCCCACTGAGATCTCAGATCTCTTTTTCAAGGGGAGGCCTGGGCCTGAAGGCAACCTATTGTACATGTTTTGGGGGGTGGGGGAAACCAGAGTACCCGGAGAAAACCCACGCAAGCACGAGGAGAAACATGCAAACTCCGCACAGAAAGACCCCAGGTCTGAACCGGGGATCGGACCTAGGACCTTCTTGCTGTGGGGCGTCGTGCTAACCACTGAGCCGTCGTGCTGTTTACACTGCCGTTACCAGACCATTTAAGTTGGAGCTAGTTAAAAAACTTTTTAACATTGTAAATAAATACTACATTTGCATTTATTTAACTAACTGCAGAATGTGTTTTTATTAATATAGCTAGTCTAGCTAATTTCTTTATTAAAAAAAACTTTATATATCTCCACTTTAAATGGTCCGGTAATTAGATGAACACATTTTACTTTATAACTAACTAACCAGGCAGCCGCTATAAATAAASATTAGCTAACTAGATTTACATTTGTTTAACAGGTTTCAGGTGATAGTTTGTATCACTGATAGGGGTGTTATGGTGCGTTCACACCAAACGCGATTTCAGCATCAGGAGCATCAGGTTTACAGACAAAGTCTATGGTGGACGTGCTTCAAGCAACGTCGGGAAGTGCTGCGGCGCCTCAAGCGCGATTAGAGCAGCGCGATTTGAACGATTTGAGCGATCTGAGCGTTCGACGCGCTGAGGCGCAAATCGCTGAAGTTAGAAAATCTGAACTTTTGCAGCTCGACGCGCCGCATCAACCAATCAGAGAGACTCCACTGTGTGACGTAGCAACATATTTCCCGACGGGACAGTTTACTGAATGATGTCCACTAACCTGAAACAGATGGAGAGGAGCTCTTTAGCTGAAATCGTGCCTGCAGTCGTGTCCTGATCCTCACCAATGCGTGACAGTGACTCATCAGACTGGAAAAATAGTCCTGAAAGCGAGCTGTGAGCCTCTACTCTGAATTATCTGGTGAATTAATTATGAATTAATTATCTGATGAACGTGACATGCTCTTGCTCTCTGTAAATAAAGCAAAGCCACTTCCTCGTCCGACATTAAACAGAGCCCGACAGAGGAGGGAGGGGCGGGGCGGCTGTCGCCGTGCAGCGCTTCAAGAGCTGACCTGCGTCTGACCTCAAAGTGCACAAGCGACCAACTTCAGCGTTGGCTGCTATTTTGAAGCTGAAATCGCGTTCGGTGTGAACGCAGCATAAGAAAATATTGATAAACTGAAATGTCGCGATATATCATTTCCCGATACTGTATCGATATTCTAAAGCCCTATATCGATTTTTTTACTAAGCTTTAAAATGTCAACTTTCCTGCCAGCCGTTCATTTTATGTTGTAGTTCAGCCTCTGACCACTAGTTGGCAGCAGTGAGCCAGCCACTTGTTAAGTGTTGGGTGACCATATTGTAAATTAATATTAAAAACTAAAAGCTGCAAAAATATATTTTCAAACTATTTATTGGCAAAATTAGTCTAATAATTGAAAACATGGATGAAATAAGAAACGAAACAAATAAAATAAAATTTATACAAAGCAGAACACAGCTAAATGWATCAAAAGRATGTCTBTGTAATATTAGAAWTTTCTGAGACAATGAATTTTGGTTTTTCATTTTTTCCCCTGTAAGAGGTTTTTATTTAATAGAATTTTTGGACAAAAGAAATCGCAATATATCGCCTTGCTTACAGTATCACAATATATCGGGATACATCGTATCGTGACCCCTTTGTCATGAAATGTATCGTGTCGCCAAATTCTTGCCAATACACAACCCTAATCACTGATGATTCTGTTTCCTGAAGCTTTTCTCCAGCAGGTCCATGGTGAGGACCTTGAAGCTGCAGCAGGTGTCTTGACAACAGTGCTAAACTTTCAATTTAACAAAAATAAAAAGTTGGACCGTTTTCCGTTTTTTGGATTATAAAAAGAAGATAGAATAACCATCTGTTTTTAAAATAAATGAAGATTGACAAAAAAAAGTTCGTGACCCAAAACAATTCTTGTAGCTCAGTCACACAATCCTTAAGTTTACTGTGGTCTACAGTAGTTTTAGTGTGTCAGAACGGCGACGGTAGAACAGCAGCAGTGTTCTCCCCTAATATCCTCAGGGTTTCCAGTCTCAAATATCAAATCACTGAGACGTTGTCGTGTTCGGACCTCGGAGAAGCAACCCTGAGACTCCCTCAGGAACCCGATCCGTCCCGTTCCGATACGCATGCTCCGACAAAACAGAAAAGCAGCTGTTAACGCCAGGAAATTTGCGAAGACAAAATATTTATGCCGACTCCGCCGCATATGAAAGATCCCATTCTTTTTCTCCTGGTGGGGTTTTTTTCGCGGGGCCTGTTTGGAGAGGGGAAGGGCAGCCAGATCCAGGGAGCTGCAGCAGTATTGATTTTAGGCTTGGCTTCCAAACGAAGCCACAGCCAAGCGGCTCAGGGATCCGCCTGCTGCTTCTGCTCGCCCTGCCAAGACAGCAGAACTGACATTTTTCTTACCAAGTGCCTCTCGGATGACCTCGTATATTTAGCTTTTGTTTTGTACGTTCCCCTGCTTTTACTTCAACTCCTGTTCYGGTTTTCATCAGTTTCGGCGCAACACCTCCTCAGCAGCGTTAATAAAATCAAATAGGCTAAAACGTCATCCGCGTCCCCTTGTCGGTTGCCCTTGTGTCTCTTCTCCTCTCCGTTTCCCACCATCCTCTTCTTGCACTGCCCCTCCTCTTCCTCCCCCTCTTCATCCTCCTCCTTAAAAAGTCTGTACTGAAGCCAAAACGCAGAGCCCAACTGACACTGCCAGTCACAGCTCTCTCCACGCCTCGACACGCACAGCTGCTTTAGCTCACGTTTTATCTTCTGCAAATTAAATAAATTGTTTTAACAAATCATTCTATAGTTGTTCTACTTTTACACAGTGTATTAAACAGAACAAAAAGCTAATAAAAGAAAATGTGACACCTCAGAACCTCCCTCTCACAGCTGCTGTTGCAGAATTTGAACAAACATGGCAGCCAGGATGCTTTCAGAGCTTCATGCATTTCATCTGCAGATCTAAGGTTTTTAATTTGATCTTTTCTGATGGGATTAGAMACTTTGTGAGATTTCCTGCTGCTTTTATCTTCCTGCATGTTTTTAGTTGTTTAGTTGAGTTAATCTCATCCTAATTAGTGAAGTTTACCAATCACACCATCAAAATGTACACGTGCAGGTTGTTCCATTTATGCGTTTACCTCCACCGCTCTTAGCTTCCTAGCTCTGTATTCAACACATGAAATGTCTGGAAATCTGCTGTTTCCTGTGTGCAAACTCCCCCAGCCTCACAGTCTTACAGGCTGGTTAGAAGAAGACCAAACAGTTCTGTTCTTAAAGGGATCCATGATTAGTTGTAACATTAGACTTTATTTGATAAACATATATTTTAACTGTAAAATAAAGACTGTAAAAATACTGTAGGATGTTTAGTTTTTATCCATCCATCCATCCATTTTCTGTACACGCTTCTTCCTTTTCAGGGTTTGCGTGGGTCACTGGTG